GCTTTTATTGGGGAACAAAAAATTCCAGGGAAAATCCCATCCAATGAAGGTTAAGGGGGGCAGCACCCCAAGGTCAGGGGCGACGATTGGGTCTTCAGGTCAGTGTCCAGGCTCGCCTCTGCACGGACACCCCTGGACCTGGAGAAGGGTGGGGAGGGCTCTGACACCGCTGTGCCTAGGCGCCTGTCACCCAGCCCGGGAGGTGACCCAGACCACAGGCGAGGATGGCCTCCCACAGCCTGCGCCCCCCGCCCCGGGGAGACCCGTCAGGCCCCAGCGCTGACTCAGGGAGTGTGAAGTGACTGAGATCCGACAAAGCACCTTCTGTGACCACGGTGGAAGGACACTGGCATCCTAACAGGAGGAAAGCAGGGAAATCCAGGAATGTGTGGGAATCCCGCAACAGACACTCAGACAGCCAGGGTCCAAGAAGAGGTAGGAGAGGTCCGGAGACTGCTGAGGGCGGCCAGAGCTGTGAGCCGAGGGCCACCCGCGGCCGTGAATGTCCACCAGAACCAAGGGTCTCAATCCAGATCCCAAGTCCACACCTCCACGACCCAGAACAAGTGAGTCCAAACTGACCCTGAAGCTAGTGGGGGGAGGGGCATAAAGTGGGCACAGACCGAGGGAATCGAGGACAGGAAACCCGCAGTGAGAATCAGCGAAGCGAAAAGTCCCCAGAAAAGAGCGAGAACCAGGCGGGCCTTGAGCTAGACTGACCAGGGAGGGAAGGCTCGGAACACTGAGTCGTACCTAGGAAGGGTGCACTGCCGACTGAGGTCAGGAGGGCTCCCAGGTGCCCACAGACCCGCAGCTGACCACCGTGTCCTCCTCTGGGGGCCGGTGATCTCTAGGCCCCTTTATCTCAGCCTGGAACAGCACTGACCATAGGTCAGGTCTCCTGGTGGAGGACTCTGGGCTTCCACTTGTCCCTGACGTCTTGCCTTCCCTCACTTCTGAAGGTGGCTGGACGGAGGCGTCATGGCCCATGCTGGCCCCCAGCACCCTGACCGCTGTTCCATCGCCCTTGGGCCCCGGCCCAGGTGGCAGGTCGGCTGTGAGTCTGGCCGCCCCCCTTTCCTCTCCGTCTCTCCGTGACGCAGTCCTGGTGCGTCTCCTGTGGATCCTGCTGAGTCCGTTCTACGTGGAGCTCTTTGAATTTCCTGGAGGAGTAGATTCCTGTGTCCCCTCAGACGTGGACACATTTCACTGTCTCTTCAATGTTTTAAAATTTCCTATTTAATAAACACGAGCGCAATTCCCCCGTTTGCAGTGGGTTGTTGTGACCATTTTCTGGAGTAGCATTGTCATTGCTGCATTCTTCCTCAGCTGGCCACTGTCCCACCGAGTTAGTGTCCAGAGAGTGACCTGAGCTTCTGGGACACTGGAGTCAAAAGATGTCCGCCCCTGGGCCAGCCTGGGCGGTCTGCTGGGCCACGTCCTCCACGTCCTGCTCGCGCTTCACGTCCTGCCTTCTGGAAAGGCCTCCTGGGGCTGTGGGCAATGTGAAGGCTGGCCCTGGGCACAAGGGACAGGGCATGGACACTCTTGCAGCCCCGCTGGCCTGGTTGAGCCCGAGGGCTGCGTGCCCGTCCCCTGCAGACAGCGCGGAGTTCCACATGGAATGCCACGCACCTTGGCCCAGCAGTGACAGGGACGGTGTCCTTCTCAAACGGCGATGGATGAAGAGTCGTGCTGCGACTGTGGGCTCCCTCCCTGGAGAGGTTGAGCCTGGGCCTCTGGGGACAGTGCAGCACAGTTGCCCCCTGTGTCCCTTTGCCCCTGTACTTCAGGAGACTGTCCTCGGCTCCCTTGGCCGGGGAGGCGTGTCTGGGCAGCTGGCCCTGCATGTCCATGGCGTCTCCGCCCCTGGCTGGACACTGTTTCCTTCTTCACTTCCTGGGCTTCCCGGGCTTCCCGAGCCCATGGCCGTCCCTGTGTCCCTGTGTCCCCCCAACTCCAGGGGGGCTCTGGGGCGGCCTCTCTGTTCTCAGCCCCTGGCAGCTCCTCCATGATGAGGCCTGGGCCTCCCTGAGTGCCCACGTGAGTGTGTGTGTGTGTGTGTGTGTGTGTGTGTGTGTGTCCACGGCTTGCAGGGCCCAGGACGCTCACACTTCCCAGATGGAGCCCTCTGGGTGCTGGGCTGAGGCTGGAGACCCCTCACCTCCGACCTCCAGCATAGCTGTGGGGTCACCACCCCAGCTGCCCACCTGCGCCAGGAAAGACATGGTGTCCAGGGGACGTGACCAGTGCACAGAGCCTGAGTCCCAGAGGACATGGACAGTGCAACCGCACAACACAGAGGAGGAGGACAGGACCCTCCAGGTCACGTGCAGTAACCTCAAGCGTCACTGCTGGTGAGGCGAGGAGGGTCCCCTGGCTCAGGGCCCAGAGCGAGGCCCAGTCCCCACCCTGCCCCTCCCGCGGCAGTGTCCAGAAGTACACAGAGAGTGTGGGCAGCACAGCTTTATTGATGTTCAGAGAGTGGCACTTCTGGGGACAAGAGCAGGGTCAGGAGGACCCAGTCCCTACTGGGCAGGGTGGTGGCCTGGAGCAGGAAGTGGGTGCAGCGGCCAGCTCTCCCATGGGCGGGGCCGGAGAGCAGCCAGGGAGGGCTCAGGCCTCAGACTTGGGCTGGACAGGGAGGAAGGGCAGGAGCTGGTCCTTCTGTGTGGGCTCCCGCAGGCTGGGGTCAGGACACCCGGGTGGGGAGGAGAGACCTGAGCCCACTGGCCTGGGGACATGGCCGGTCAGCAGCAGGACCTCTGGCCCAAGGAGTCACCACAGCAGGCCGGGCGGGAGCAGGTGGGGCAGCAGAGCAGGGACACGCAGGAGGCCGGGCGGCAGCAGCTGGGCTGGCAGGAGGAGGCACAGCAGGAGGAGAAGGGCACGCAGCAGGCGGGCCTGCACACGGGGCGGCAGAGCAGGGACACGCAGGAGAAGGGTCTGTAGCAGCAGACGGGCTTGCAGCAGACGGGCACGCAGCAGGTCGGCTGGCAGGGGGAGGAGCTGCAGCAGTCAGACTGGCAGCTAGACTGCTGGCAGCAGGAGGAGGAAACCCCAGAGCAGATGGGCACACAGCACACAGGCTTGCAGCACACGGGTTTGCAGCAGAGGGACACACAGCAGGACTGCTGGCAGGGGGAGGATGAGCAGCAAGAGGGCTCACAGCAGGACTGCTGGCAGGGGGAAGAGGAGCAGCAAGAGGGCTCACAGCTAGACTGCTGGCAGCAGGAGGAGGAAGCCTCAGAGCAGACAGGCACACAGCACACAGGCTTGCAGCAGACTGGCTTGCAGCAGACGGGCTTGCAGCAGAGGGACACACAGCAGGATGGCTGGCAGGGGGAGCAGCTGGAGCAATCAGACTGGCAGCTAGACTGCTGGCAACAGGAGGGGGTGCAGGAGCTGGTGCAGACTGATTGGCAGCAGGGTCTGGACACACAGCTCACTGGGGTGCAGAGGAGGGTCAGGCAGGGGGCTGGGGCGCAGCAGGGGGCCTCGCAGCAGCTGGGGGCACAGCAGGGGGGCTCAGAGTAGCTCTCCTGGCAGTCGTCCACCTGCCAGGAGCAGTCGGGGCCCAGGCTGGGTGAGCAGATCCTGCTGCCTCCGCCCCGGTGGCTGGAGCAGACGGACATGGTGGACGCAGCAATGACGCAGGCTCTGGTGCAGCAGGTGTGCGCCATGGCGAGGCCCAGCTGGGGTGGGGGAGCTCTGGGCGGGATTTATACCTGTGGAGTGTTTCCTGCAGGAGTCGCAGGGCCTCCCTTTCCTTGTTGGTGTTGAGGTTTGTGTCAACAACAGCTGACAACACTTCACTGTGGGGATGGCCTGGCGCAGCGCCAGCTCTGAGTGTGGCTGGTGCTGGCGGTCACTGGCGGGAGTGTTCCTGCTGTGAAACCAGGTGTTACCCCGCGTGCCTGGGCTGGCTGAGGTTGGCTGCCTGGGAGGCGGGTCTGGGAATCACGGCCTCTCCTCTGCCCTGTCTGTCCTTTGGTGTGACTTTTCACTTTGTGGTGCTTGCACTTGCTGTGCCACCCCAGCCTACGGCTCTTCCAGGGGACGAGGGTGCCCTGGCCAGGAGCGTCCCTCTGAGCTCTCCTGCTGGTCCCTCTGCGAGCTCTGCGGCGGCCGGCTCTCCTGCTGCACGTCCACCCCAACACCTCCTGGTTCTCCCACTTACTGAAGGGCCTGTGTCGTCTGCCGGTCCTGGAGTTTCCTTGATGTGATCCAGCTCCCTCCTCTGTTCACCACGAGCCTCGGGGGGCGTCCCCGTCCCCACCCCCGGATGGCAGCGCTGCCTCGGTGCTGGTCACCTCAGAGCTTGGCATCCGTGGGACTTCTGGGGTCAGCGGGGGCTCTGTGTCCTCCCTCGTGGGCGGCTCGGCTCTGGTTTGCCTTCCCTTCCTGGAGGGGACAGTGGTGGCTTCTGTGGTGGGCTTGTTCTCCTGCACACCTGTCACTAAACCCTCTGCACACTCCTCGGCGGAGAGGTGCGCACACACCCGGGGGCGGCCAGCTCCACTTGTCTCTGGGCTGTTCCCGTGGCCTGGGCACAGGCATCCCCTGGAGCTCTGCTCCCTGTCCTGTGGGATCCTCTGTGTCCCTCTCCAGTGGGGGACAGTTAACTCCTGAAGGCCTCGTCGTCTTCTTTCTGGACTCATGCCCCTGATTTAGTGGAGCACGTCCTCCCGCAGCTTTCTCAACACGGGCGTCGTGTTGTGCACACGCCGACGTGTGTTTGAGCACTAGCATGACCTTCAACGCCCTTTCCTGCCCTTGTGCTCGGTGGATCGTTCAGCTGGGTATGATCTGGGGCTTGGGGAGGCTCTGTCTCTGAGTGTCTGGTTGAGGCTGCAGAGCTTTCTGAGGATCCTGAGGGACGAGTTCTAACCTTCCTCCTGCCAGAAGCACCTGCTGTTCCTCCTTCTCTGCCCCTGGTCGGCGTGGCCTGGTCCGCCTGGCCCTGTGTCTTCAGCTCTTCGCTCCAGGACTGCCTGGGAAGCCCCCGTGGCTGTGACATCACGGTCACCCCTTTGGTCCTGTGTTGTGAACTGTGACAGTGCAGCCTGCTGCGTGTTCTCTGTCCATTATCTTCCCGAGTCGGGGATCTGGGTCCTTCCAGGTTTTGGCTGGGAGTGATCCCGCCACCGAAGATGCTCCTGGTGTTTTGCGGGGAGTGCCGTTACTCAGCTCTCCACCCAACACCCTGCTGCCCCTGGTCCTAGAGGAGTCTCAGCCCCCCACCTCCGTGAGTCCCAGGAAACTCTGCTTCTACCCATGAGGCACCGTCCTCAGTCTCCCTCCTTCTGGAAAGTGTGTGGGGAGGCGGCCTTTTGTGTCGTCTGCATGTTGGTGAGTGGAACGGGTCACTGTCCTCTGGGCACGTGTTCTGGAGAGCGGCTGCTTCTTAAAAACAGTCATTTCTGTTCCTGTGGACGTGGAGAAGGGTGTGGACGTGGAGAAGGGTGTGGACGTGGAGAAGGGTGTGGACGTGGAGAAGGGTGTGGACGTGGAGAAGGG